TGATTCAACACAAACCCTATTCCTCTACCAAAGTGTCCAAATACTTTTGCACGCTGATTTTACCGAAAGTCACTTGCCCAATCCAGCTGTCAAATAAGCTTCGAAAGAAAATGGTCGATTAACGTAACAGTTTTATTCGAGAATAGTAATATTTACGCAATTATAGGGAAATATACGAAATAGTAAGCACATATGGCGGAAAGACAAATCAACTTGTGTCAACATCTTCATTTTGCATCGATGAATTCTCTAGATGCACCTTCGTTCAGATTAATAAATGCGCTTAAAGATGCGTACATCCTCATGCCAATAAGAGGTGATGCGATAACAGCTCACATCGGCCGGAGTTGGTTGAGTGTGCCGATTAGCCAACTCATGAGAGCCCGGGTGGCAAATACACCTCGGTTGCTGTTTCCAGCCTAGTTTGAGTGAATATTGAGCAATAACAATACGTGGAAACCCGCGGCATCGGTGTTGCTAACTCGGAGGTGTTGGTCCGGTGTGACGGGCCTCCCAGGCTCACCGATTCTGAGCTTCAGCTTGGCGCCACTGAAGCGTTCGACCGAGGGATGACCCACCCGACTTTTGCATGCGTCCAAGTGAAGGTAGTATTTGAAGAATGTGATTTCCATCGTGCCATGTAAACTCCAATTGCAAAATTAATGATTATTCCTTTTTGCCAACATTTAAATCACTGTTACGAATACAAACGGTACGATAAGACCAGAATTAAAGGTGTTGAAGAGGCATTCGAAGAGAAAGCGTAGATCAGCTTGTATCAGGTTTAGGAGCCTGTGCCATAATGAGGCCGAAAAAACCCTCAATGGTTATTATCTTGAATAAAGCCATTTGGCAATTGTGCATTTTCCATGCCAATTGAATTCTTTAAAATATATTAAATTTTGAACCACATTTTAATCTTTTCCATGAGAGTTTCAAACTAATCCCTAGCACCCGATGGAGTTAGCAAAAACAACTCAATTTTAAATGACATTATACACGCTTCTACTAATTAGCAGTCACACGTACATGAGGCAATTAAACTTCAACTTGGAATGTATTTAAATATTCAGCCATACCAACAAGTCTTTAATGAAATTGTGGATAAGGTTACTATAGCAACAAATATGATCAAGTGGAGGAACGTATTGGAGTGGTAAATATTCAGCCTTAAGGGCTACAACTAGTAAAGTGGGAGAACTCAAAGTACTAGGACCAAGAGTTACGACTGCTTACTTCAAATTAATGAATTTGAGTGTGTGTTTGTGGGGGGGGGGGTTGGGTGGATAGGATAATTGAGTAATATTGAGCCTGTATGAAAATATTCATCCATGTATCATTTTTTGGAGTTGGAAGGAGAGCGATGTCAATACATCACTGAGTCTCCCTTTAATTGACTTTTGGTCTCGAATTCTAAATGGACAGTTCATATTCAGAAACTGAAACTTCATGACTCGTACTCTGGGTTGCAAAATAACTGCTTGTCTGTGATGTTTAATGCCTGTTAACAGATATTGTTTAATCACAAAGGCTCGGAAATGCCAAATCTACATTATTTTCTTCGAGTGGTTAGGAATTTCCCATTTAAAACAGAATTAAACTCATAACCTACTACTAATATGAGAACTAAATTTAGGTTTTGTGGCTTTCAAAACGCTATTCACTTTGCCACCTATATGTGAAAAGCATTGAAATTTTTGAACCATTCACAGTGGCATAATCACGCGTTCAAGAGAATATATTTATGAATTTTTGAATTGAAAATTCGCTTATTCCAGGTATTCGTCAGAAAAAGGATCCCTTCAGTTATTTGTTTAAATTTTAGACAATTTGATTACGTAAAAGTGACAAATCTTAAAATCTGGTAGCAGACATCACCGCATTACAATGCCACGTCGGAAAACTTCAACACATGCACACCCACACTGGCAACTCCAAAACCGACAACGACCACCTCAGAGTGTGTGTGTCAGCACGAGATTGTAACTGACACGCTAATTACCTAGAAAAGATACAGAGAACAGAGTCGAGGTATCACGGAGCCTTATTTCATTAAATTTTTTCTGCAATCTGAGCGTACAGGGATAGCTAACTTTCCAAGATTTAAATTGGATCATTCATCCTTGGAATGCAGTAAACTTGTTTATTATCTCAAGTGCCCACTGACTGTTTTTTTTAAATCAGAAAGATTCGACGATCTTGCAAGCCACTCTGCTGCTCATAATTTTGATGTAACAGAGCTGAGATGGTTATACAAAACTCCACAGCCTGTGCTCACTCAGAGTGAACTCAAGTATAAGTGACTAACTAATAATCGTCAGTGAATACAAAACTTTATTTGCCTAATAAATAACAAAATAGGTAAAAAACAAATATAATTCCAAGAACGTTTTGATTCATAAAATTGTGCCGAAATTCGAAAGTTCGAACACGATGGCTGTGCCGACACCAACTCATTGTTAAAGTCATTTCTGGAAATGTTAACAGGCCCCCTTTCCAATGCCTGGAACGAAAGCATCCATCCAGTAGGGAAGCATCTCAATACGAGATGGTAGTAAATGACAAGCCCATTTCCTTGAGAAATAACAAGATATTTCACGCTTTATATCGATTCAATTGCTAAATTAAGGCGCCATAACACTTTAAGCTATGAACGGATTGACTTCATAGTTTATTGTCCTCAAAGACAGGCCATTTTGCATAAACCGGACGCACTTTGACGTTGTAATGTGGAAGATTGGGAGCGACTCCATGGCCAATAAATGCCTGTTTTAATTGATCGTGTAAACCATTTTCTCATTGATACAAAAAATAACGAAGTGTATGGATATACATATTGCGTATATTAACTAGTTGTAAGGTAGTTTTCGAAATAACAACCAATTGTATACAATGTAAGTTTCTGGCTTTCCAAGTCCAATCTCGTAAACGAGTTAAATATTCACGACCGGTCATGCTTTGAAATTGTCACCAAAATATCGTGTGAACACAAACTTTTATTACAAAATCAATTAATAGCCCAACAAACAATAAAAAACAGTAGATAGCTAGAAAACGCTAACATCAGCATTGTGGTGTGGAAGATTATCAACACATTTTAACTTTAGAGTGGGATAGCAATTCACGTTACAAGATTCCCATGGAAGGTTGCAAATAGTCAACTAGAATCCCCGCTGGTCAGCAATCAAACTTCCATTCACACCCTTCCATTTTGGATCCTCATTCCATTTTGTCCGCACTTAGTTTAGGAGGCAGAACAACCCTCTACAATATTCAGTAGACAACAGATCATAAGCAGGAGAAAGTGTGAATTGGAGGAAGGAGGAGGGGGGGGGGGGGGGGGGGAGGGGGTAGGAGACCAATATGAACTTTCATGGTATATATGAATACAACCATTATGACAGACAGAAAACCATAAATTCAAACGTTTCACTGCGACTTAATAAAAGATAATTCTTGCTTCGTTTAATTATTTTTTGAATCTTGGGTTGAATTCCGACTTAATGAAGGTAGACTCAGTATTGGACATGGAAGACATGCCTTAGGTAGGAAAACACGCATGGAATTGCTGTGGGGAGTAGGAGTGAAAATACAGAGTAGACGAAACTATATTCAGATACCTTTAAATCTTTAAGTGGCATTTCAAGTAATAAAAGACATAAGGTCTGACATTCATTTAGCAATACCAATACATTCAGCTTATAGAGTAGAAAGAAGACATTTTACAATAACATGGCAACGCTGATTTCCTACAGAAAGCCAATTTCCACGTTTCCGAAGCACATAATTTATGTACTTTGCAAAACATGACTATTTTGCCATCACTGACCATCTCAAAAATGTCGTCAAGATTTTGTTAACATTATTTCGGCACCCCGAAGTCCATCCAAGATGTGGTTAGGTAAATTTGAAACACGGCAGACTCTGGGACCTTGAAATAGTTTCTACGCTCGTGATGTCAATCCAATTAATAGACAAAAATGTGATCATTTGTATGCTGGCCTCGCGACTTCACTTCCAGCTGTTTCCTCAAAAGAAAAGCAGTAAAGATAGTTTGAATCGAGCTTTACTTTCGCTCATTTGCCCTTCTTAAATAAATAAAAAAAACTAAGCCCTCAGGAGGGAGACTTGTAGTTAAAACAACATTTTCTTAGTAGGAAAATGAACTCACTTGCATAGGATTTCACTTTTAACTAACTGCTTGGCTAGCCAATAATTACAGCGATGGACTCAAAAACGGGGGAGGGGGGGCAGCGTAATTAATTTTGGCGTAAGTGGGGGAAACCAATAATGGACAATCGAGGGCAAGAGGAGAGAAGAGACACTTGGTCATAAGCCCAGAAACTATTTGACTAGACATCCGGATAATAAGATTGTATAAATTCACATCGAAATAGCCATTATATCGAATCAGCTTAACAAAATCCCTATTGATGTGAAAACAGCATGAACGTGTACATTAAAAACGACGTGTCAAGTACACTGACCTACTCTGGCAGTGCTTAGAAATATTGGGGTATTTATAATTTATTTGCAAGCTAAAAGTAAGCATTTGCTGGAATTATTCCCACCTTCACTTGCACTACCTCTAAGTAAATTTGAATCACTTATAAAAAAGTGAATTTTTGAAGGTTTGAATGCAGTTTGAAAATGAATTAAGTAGCAAATTTATCTACAGGAGTCAAGGAAATGTTAAGACCACAGCATTAAAACAAGTTCATTACCATCAAGCGATGATAGTCAAAGAGATAGGAAGTTTCTTTAGACGAAAGAGTCTTCCAGATATCACGAGCAAAATCCAACCATTGCAGTTCAGTCATAGTTCTTTCATTTAATACGGGATGTCTTCTTGGTGTGGAGAGTATGGCTTCTTGAAGGTGATACGCGCACTCCCAGTAGGATGGACTACCCACCTCAACTTCACCTAAAGAAATAAGGGATTAATTTTTACAACAGCATTGTCCTAAACTAAGTAGACAGAAACAAAGCAAAAAATACCATTTTCATTAATAGCAGGCAGGACGAACAAGTGTGATGTAGCAACTGATGAGGAAACATGCAGTTTTTGTTTGCGCTCTAACGTTATCCTTTTAAAAGCATTTCGCATCTCTGAAACCTGGTCAACGTTTTCACAATCTCCAGCGTAAAATAGGCCATCTCTCTCCTCAGTTTTCTCATCCAAACATGTAGCCTTTGAAAATCGAGGCAAGTTGCAAGGCTTGGCTCTTGGTGGAATTTTCAGTTTTGACAGCTCTTCAATGAAATCAGCAACTATCTCCTCTTCTGTTAGAGTTCGAGCATCCGACGAATTCCCATTTTCTAGACTACACAAGGATTTGTTCATAGATATTAAAAAGTATAAAAATGGCAATTAGTAGAATATACGTACGTTTTGTTTTCGTGCTTTTCAAGTGGTAGTTCAAGATGACCCTCATTGGTACTATAAAAGAGAAATGACCATATATACAAAATGTTAGATAGTAAATTAAGTACAACACAAAGGGGAATCAAGTAAAAGAGTTCCCGTCTAGCGCCAAATCTCCCCAACAGTTCTTGAAGAATGTGTAGACATTGTCATGAGGAAACAAAAATTGACTGCGTAGTTTCCCGCGCCGTTTTTTTGGCAGGGGATGCCATCAACTTATTCAAAACGCCTTCTTTCTAACTTGAGGTGACTCATTTTTCTGTCCTAGAAAATCCACCAATATTACACCTTTTGAATCGCAAAAAATAGGGCCCATGACCTTCATAACAGAACTCTCAGCTTTGAACTTGACAGGACAAGGTGTATCCTTTGGATGTTGATTGAATTTTGCTTTTTGGGACAAACTAGTAGATCCAGGCTTCATCTCCGGTGACACAGGGCTTAAAAAATTATCCTCATTTGTTTCCCTCTTCGCAAAAGCTTGCAAAGAAAGTTCATATCTTTAAATCAGTTGTTGTTTCTTCAATATTTTGGGGACCCACCGTGTCCACCTAGAGCTTGCTCAAGCCAAGATTTTCAGTGATAATTGAAAGTTCTGATCCGTGAGCGATTCCTACTTCGTTGGCAATTTCCTCAGTGGTAATTATTCCATCTTCTTCCAATAGGTTTGTGTTGCGCCGGGTCTCTCTCCTCGTGAGTTATCATCAAGTTGCCCTCTTCCCTCTTCAAAGCGCTTAATCCAAGCATAAATGATTGCCCTTTATGAGTCTGCACAAACCTGTAGCAAAGCTTCCATGATCTGAACAGGGTTTCAATTTAGTTTAGCAAAGATATTTATCTCAGCCCTGGTCTCAAAATCTGTCATTTAAAGGGTTGAGGATTGCTGGCTATTTTGAGATGCAGCCTCTCCTTATCCTGACCTTACATTGAGTGATCGGACGATTGTTTGCTATTAAGGACGCTCCAAAGACATTTATGAACCTGTGAATCTTTGTTTTATTTAAAGTTACGACATTTGTCTGAGAACTTTCTGATTCACTCTCGTAGCTCCAAAAAGTGCCGGAAAGTGATATAAAAACAACGACTGAAATAGGAACAATTCAATTCGAATTCCTTTTCACTTGGTGACGTCTTAAGAGTGGAATTACTACTTCTACAACAATTTTTCAATCTACATAAATTAAGAAACTAGAATGTGATAACACAATGAGGAGGTAATAGATAATTACTTATATACGGCAAAACCGAGAGGCCCATTTTTTGGTGATTTAGCTTTTGAACTTATACAATAAATCGGGTTCAACTTGGTACTCAAACGCTGTCTCCTACAAAATCAATCGTGACTTGGTCCTTCTAATTAATTCTCTGCAATAAGTAATGCGTCGATATGAGTTTCAAACGGGGAGTAAGTGGAATGAATATATGAAATTGATTAGTCTTAACGGAAGAGTGCTTTCTTTGGGGGGGGGGGGGGGATTAATTAAGTACTATAAATTGAAAAAAGCCATTAAAAATATTAACAGTTTCTCAAAGAAAATTATTGCAAATTTACCTCTTATTCAGAACATTTAGATTACTTCCTTCATTGGACCTACGCAATAAACAACATGTTAAAATTAAATAACTGCAATTTGAATCAAATTAGCATTGAGTGATTTCAGGTAGAACGCATTCTTACAGCTTATCCGCTGCCATCTCAACATCCAAATAATTCTTAAGATCGAGGCTGTTACAACTTCCGTAATGCCTAAAAGAGAACAGATATAAACAAGCATTTCGAGTGGAAATCAAGAAAACGCTTCTATTTCAACTGAAAGGGATTAAACTTACTTAGCGTATGAGTCTTTTTCCGATTCGGATTTATTTTTCCCTTGTTGATCGCACACATCTTCCAAAACGTCACCTAAATGCGACATAAATAGCGATAAAATTCGAAGCGCATTGTTCTATAATCCAATTCCGAGACGGGTGCACAAGACATAGGTGCTCATCAAGTGAAAATTGTGCATTATCACAGCCTACATGATTATTTCAACCCATGTGGTTATTCATATGCGTTGCATAAATATTAAACCTGTCAAACACGAAACAAATCTTGGAAAGTATTTTTGGGTTCTTCTACTTCTAGTAAGTACAGGACTGGTTAGGTAACCAGCCACGCAAAAATGAAAGTGGGTTCAGAAGGAAACTTATGGCATAAGCCAATCAACACCTGCCGATTAGAAAAAAAGGGGTGATAATAGAATCTCGTTTACAGGAACCAAGTTCTAGTTAGTTGCGTATTACTAAATGGGTGTCAATCATCAAGCAGAGATATGATTGGCATGTAAGGATATGAAAATTAGTTCATTCATAAATAAGCTGAAGTGGCATCCCCAGAACCTCCGAGCACTGATCAAGTGACACGAGTGACTTCACTCAACCCAACTGTTTGATCGATGTGGTCCATGTCCACATAGCCATTACACCCATTCTGCGTTGCCTTACGCGTAAGACATTCTTTACAATGATAACTTCTCCTACGATAGGTTAAAAATTATCACTTAAATTAGTAAATCGAAAAGACAAAAAATGTTAAATAGGTAGCTAAGCAAAAATCAATGAAAAGAAACACAAGCGCGTTGAGAACTCAATAACTTGTTAAAGAAAGAAACCGTTGGGGAATCCTTTTATGGCAAATAATGATAACGAATAGATAGCATAAGCATACCACTGACGGACTTCTTTCGACAATGAGCTACCATAGAATAATTTGGCATGCATTTTAATACACCGACGAACATATTTGAAGTAAATCAAGTAGGAACTAAAAATATCTCACTCTACATCTAACACAAATAGATAAGACCGGTGATATTAGTTTGACACGAAAGCAAAATTTAATTAAGTTTAGGGAACTGTGTAAGCATCATGAATGACACCTCAGAAAAAGCTACTGAACTAGATAGATAGTTTAAAACATATCAAAAGTGTACTAGGATATTTGGTCACACCAAATCTAGGCACTTTTATCGATATTAAGGATCTAATAGCAGATATTTAAACCCACAAACCACCAACTACGATGTTACTGAAGATTTGAAAGTAGCATATAATTACAACATAAAAAGTACGTGAACCAATAGAAACTCAGAGTACTAAGAGAAAGCTTGAACATGAACCGCAGTTTCAAGCTGCCCGAAAAGAATATGGCCATTGTAACAAAGATAATGATTTACAGTCGCACTGGAGTCTTGAATTTTTCTTGGACTATTTTTAGATATTTTTAAAGGAATTTAGGCAGAAGTTGTTCTGTAGTAGACCACACTAAAAAGTGAATTTGAAATTTAAATAATACATATGGCTTCAATTAAAACATAATCTACCGCAAATTTTATAGATGGAAAGATTTTATAGAAGTGCTGAGCTAATACAGTAACTCACTTTCATCATCTTCATCGTCCAAAAAGGTGCCTGAAGATAAGTGATTACGCACAGCCTTGCGACGATTCTGGGTCACCTTTTTGAGGATTCTCGGTCCAAGGTTAACAAAAGATTCCAATTCAAGTCGCATAGGAAATATTCTAGTGAGAAGATTATTATACTGTTTCAAGAGCTTGTAGCTTTTGTCCGGGCTTGTAAATACATCAACAGGAGCACAGTTATAAACGTGCAATAAACTAGCTGAATAGTCAGTTAAATCTGAAAAATATAGAACTTTCGTGAAATAGATATAAACGAACGAAACTGAGAAGCAATTGATGAGCACATACCTCGGAGTTTATTCAGGTAATTCTGCACCTCAATTTCTTCACTGACAACACATGAAGACTGACATTTTGTCTGCGTTGGAACTCGAGCATCGGAAAAGGGGTTTTCCATATCATGAGGTGGGGGCAATTCATCCGGACGACTTTGATCAAGATCCTTAGTATCTGAACTTGGAGCTTCATTCACATCAATAATTTCATCCTCGATTCCCACCTTGTCACCACCCTCCATCACTTTACTGTCACTGGGTCTAAGGATATGGGCAGTTTTATTTTTCGCCTTTCGAACAAGGGAGATTTGATTAACCAAAACAAGGGGCTTCCAACCAAAACCATGGTCAACCAGTTGAAGTAGTGTTGGATCACTCAAATTGTCTTGAACCAAAATCACGGCATGACAAACACTAGCCAAGAACGAGATCAGCTACAATGAAAAAGGGCGTGAAACGTAACGAACATGAATATACAAGGGGGTTATTAACCAAAATGAGAAAGAAATTAAAACCTGCAGTGAGACGATCTCAGCAACAGTTTCAACAGACCAATTTTTCATAAAACCAGATGGACTCATATCACCTGTTTCGCTAGATTCACTAAATTCTCCGCTGGATGCATAATCGGGCTTTGTTTTTACTCCATGTAGACCACCTTTACAGAAGATGTCTGCAACTGTCCAATCAATAAGGGGTTGCGTATCGAGAATAATTACGCGATCATGAGTTATGAACAAGTCAATGCCAAGTTGTGTCTCCGAGTAACCAGAAACCAAAGTATCGACAGACTGAACTGGAAATGGCGTTTCAAGGTTAGGCTCATCTTCGATAGCATTAGCAACCAGATTCGCGACGGTAGATTTCCCAACACCCTACAAACGAATCAAACTAAAGAATTTAATGTTAAACAAATGGGTAAACAATAGTATTATTGTGCTAACCTTGCGACCAATAACTCCAACAACAAGGAAGCCAGTATTATTTTTGGAGAAGGAACTTAGAAGCTCCGTATATCTGAATTCAAAGTTTTCATCTATCAGTTTCAGTGGAGTATGCATGGACTCTTCACAGGCATTCTTCAGTGACTTGTCGGTTATACCAGCCCCAACAGGAAGGATTGGTTTAACTTCTTCAGCGAAAAAATCGCGAATACTTGAGGGTTTCTTCGACTTAGACTTTTTTCCCATGCTCCTATATAGCAGAAAACAGCAACACACAATAGAAAATGCGTTTTATGAACATTTAAATTTCTTTAACAAGTTAATAAAGTCATTCGACCTATTTACAATAATAATATCTATGTACTCTTAGACCAAATTCAGATAAACACATGGCCTTCAGCATGAGGTCATTCACACATTTTATTAATCGTTGAAGTAAACATACATAATATAATTTTTTACATCTTAATTTGCATTGAGCTGAAATTAATTAGAGATTCTTTGTAATTATTATGGAGCAATATAGAATTTCAAGGAAACCATACCTTTGATTTAGATATGTAAAATATAATGATAATATTAGAACATTTAGGCCACAATGCGCACCTAATACATATGGCAATTGAATAAAATTTTTTCATGGGTAAATATAGACAAAATTTTTGGAACGCACCCTATTGTAAACAGATGTTAATCATTACATATATTATAAATTAACGTTGTATGTCCCACAAGCCCCTCATGATATTAAAATTAAATGAAACTGACATTATTCCTAAGCAGTGAGGAAAAGATATTTTTTCTACAAGCTGAATTCTGCCGCTCCATTTGCCTCATTTTTTACCTCAAGGAGGAATCGTTTAGAAACCGTTTACATCGTACTTATCAGTTTGCATTTTTGTTGGTTGGAAATGCGACCTTTCAAAAATTATATAATTACGAATTTCCAAATTTATTAACACTGAATTTACTATCGTTTAAGTGCGAAATAAAGGTTAAATCACCTCTGCACATTTGTCTCTAGAACAACTAGCATACCATAAATAAGATGGCTGGGTGAAAAAATTTGAATTATAGAAAAATTGTCGTGATACTTTAATATCGCCCTTTTGGCAAAATATGAACATCCTCTTTTTATGATAATGATAATTTGTTGCGTCATTTATGACTGACTAAAGTTTACAATTAAATCTTAAAAATACTGGTTCTGGATGACGTAAAAATAGCAATTTGATCAGGCCTAAATGTCTCCTTAATTCTTATCTATTTTGGAAATTTCTCATTCAGTATGTAAAGTTATACCGAAATCCATCAAAGTTTGTCTTTTCAAACTAATATCCTAATTGTGAGTTTTGACTTGGATAAAGAGTGATAGCATCTTAACTTGAAGTTAATTAAAAGAATCCACGGAGACTTTAGTTTTGAGGAGCTTTTAAAGTTTATGTGGTTATTTAGAACTAGAGATACAAACTTAGGAGATAAAACATTTGTAAAAGCTGAAAATAAGCGTATTCATGCCTGAATTAATATTTTTTAATAAGTCATATGTACTATGTGCGAAAATATTAGCCTCAAATTTGGCAAACGAAACCTTCTGTCATTTCATGGTCTGCATGAAACATTACGGCTTTTGCACATCATAGACTGATGCACTTATAATTCTCCCCCATCCCCCCCCCCTCTTCACCCACTCTTCCATTTGCATTGAAATTCGTCAAATTCAGCTCATTAATTACTGTTCTGCTACTTCTGCTAGTCATCCGTATTTGATTATGAAATTTATCTTTGCTCAACTTTTTAGGACTCCTACAAGTTCCTTTGGAAATATTCAATCGATATTTAAATGTTATATACCTTCATAGTGAAATAAATAACCTAGCCCATCCTAACTTCCTGAATTCCATAAGCAAGTGCACACTAGAGCACTTTAATGGTATGAGTTTGTGGGACACGTTATCGCTCTGTGCGTCATCGTATGCCTGCATGTCTGGTCGCCAGGTTTGGGAGGTGCGCCAACTCTGTGTGCAGCGACCGTACAAACAGTGGCCAATCACTAGAACTCTGTGTGTGGGACAAGCCTTGTGGGACACGTCATCGCATGCCTGCACGCCAGGACTGGGAGATGCCAGGATTGGGAGGTGCGGCCGTACAACTTTGTGTGCAGTTCGCCAGGTTTGGGAGGTGCGCCGTACAACTCTGTGTGTAGCGACCGTACAAACAGTGACCAATCATTAACCTCTGTTTAACCTATTCCCCCCATCCTGATCACGAGTAGCTCCCTGCGTGTACACTTGATCCGCAATACTGGTACTGAATCAACGTGCTCCGTGCTACACGTCTGTTTCCTTTATAGCTGGGCTTTAGCTTAGCTGGTTCTGGGATTCTAGCTAGATGTAGGAGGATCTGCCATAGAGATTTTCTGTGTCAGTCAGGCTTTACTAAGGTAGCAATCCGTTTCAAGTTAATTACCGAAATGTATTGCATTCGCGCAATTAAAATTAAATGTCTATTCTCAAAAAAAGTATATCATTTAAATTATATCGACATTAAATTTCAGTTTTATATAAAAAATGTTAGCTACTACATCGTGCACACTTTACACTTATACAGTGAATGAATTAGTTAAGTCATTCATTAATATGGCTAATTACTCTAACATTCGCAGTTAATCCGTCCCAAATAACCTGCAAACCAACACTTTACAGTCCGTAGTTAAGTAGTTAAAATGGAAAAAATTGTCATCTTCCACTAAATAATTACAACCAAAGTTATTTTCTTTTAATAAATGTTATGAAGGATTACTTACTCTCTGAATGAATCTGTGCTTGTTTAATGATTTATTCTCTTTTCGATATCCTCTTATTCAAAAATTGAGTTGCAAATCAGGATATTAGCAAAAATTTTAATCCCATAACGAAATAATTCGCTGTTGTAAGTGAGTGATGCATTGTTTTCATGATTAACGATTTTTACCACTGCGGAAAATGTGTCGGTATAGTATTATTTAATAATGCAACCGCAATAATCGCACTACACCAATACACGAAAGTTATGATTGATGCTGGTGATCACTCAAGCCATAATCATCAAATTTTGATGAATTTACGTAACTATTTTCATTCATTAATTACCAACAGATTTTGGTTTTATCCTCTCAGCACTACATACATCTACCAAAGTGTACGGAAAGCAATCGTAATTGTAGCTCCAATCTTTCCACACGAAAGATCCCAATTTTTTATACCCCACATTGATTCAACTATTAATTGAATCTAATTTCTACTTATGATTACCCAATTTCAAATATATTGATAAGTGTTGTAGTCGACTTTGCTTTAACCACCCATTCTGGAGATTGGATCGAAATATTGGGGGATACAGTCCACCGATTAATAAGACCATTAAATGAATTGAAGGCCTGGTTTTCGGACATAACAGACTAATAAGGCAGTAGTTGTTAAATTAAAAAGCTATTAAAGTATTCACCTGCTGACACCAGTCACTCCCAGGGAATTCAACTAATTTGCCTGTTTATTAAAGTTGAAATAGGAGGAACGTTGTCTTCATCAATATCAGAATAAAATGAATTTACCTAAAATAGCACCTTTTCAGGTAATCCATTTTGTTTCACAAAAAAACGTTTTTATTAATTGCCTAATTGTAGTGTTTTTCGAAACGCATTTCCATGCGCAAAAGTAGTGAAATTTGCGAAGTCAAAATCACATTACCTTTTCCTTATCACGTCAATAATTCGTGGCAGTTATTTTTGCGATGCGAATTGGGAAGAGGAGGTGTGTGAGGCCAATACAATTAACCTTTTGCCTTGGTGGAGGGGAGGGGAGGAATTTAATAGAACGATGTTACTACGAATTGCTTTTACGCACTTGAAGCAGATATAAACAGAGTGTTGTGCGGTTCACATTTCAGAAAATTTACATTTCACTAAAAAATGGGTTGTCGTCGATGCTGTTGTAATAATTGTTGCTGCAATGATTGCTGTGACGACTGTTGTTGCGCCGGATATGTTCCCATGTGTGTCCAGGCTCCCTATTGTAAGTTATTTGCCCACATTATATGGATTTTTGCATCAATCAATCCAGCGTCTACAATGTAACTGCTTATTGATGTAAATTTTGTTGGGAAAATAATGACATTAGTTGAAAATGGTCTGTAGGAGAGATGGTAGAATGGGTGATATTCAACACAGCAGCTACAATATGTACGTTAACAATATATATAGTAAACATGACCTGCCAATAGAATTTTAAGAAGACTAAGACACATTAAAGTTACATAGAAATGTTTGAATCCTATCATCCTACTAATCTTCTCAATCTTTTGTTTCCAGGTGGTTGCCATTGCCGACGCAGTTGTTGCTGTTAATACTCATTAGGAAATTTCCTGCAAGTTAACAATTTTATTGGCCAATAAATTTGATACTTTCGACTTTAATATTTCGTTTGAAAGGGAAAAATATATATATATTTTAAATTAAGCAAATTGAAAAAGGCTTTATGTTATTGTATGACTCATTACACTAACAAGCAATTAACAACGAGTAAAACTGTCTTTTGAATGATACCTTGATTCCAATTAAACATTAGAATTACATTATACAAAATGGAGTTAATGAAATGGTGGATGGAGGTATTACTTTAACAAGGGAAGTGGAGTGGAGCAAACAAATTTATCCCAATACCGCGTGTTTCACAAACCGTCTAAATGAAATGCCCTTTGGATGATAAAGCTACTTCTATAGGAATTGACCGAAGTAGGCATGAGAAATTTCACCATTACTGAACACAGTCTTCCTCTTCCTTTCTAAATGCATGTAAACATTGTTACTGCCCTTGAGGTTATTGAGATATGCTTTTGGGTCACCATCTTAGAGCCTGAAGGATTTGATGTCAGTTTAGAATGCAACTTCAATAATAGTTTCGTTGAAAATATGTCTGCAACATTATGCTGCGAATTTAAAGAAACCCAAGTTTGAAATGATATTTACCCAGAGCATTGAAGACTTACTAACATTGGCACAGAAGAGGCCTTCAATTTCGTTCTAATCTGGCTTTATGCTCACAAGCGTTTGCACACTTAGCGTCTTCTAATGTCGTTTCAACTGCACGGTTCTTAAATCGATTTCAATTAGGTCAAACGAGTTCTAATGGCTTTTTGTCTATTGAAAGAAATAAAAACGAAGACAAAGTTGGAGGTCAAAATTAAACCTTTAATTTCGTCTGCAATTT